ATTTGTAAAGCACTTTTCTCCTCAATTACTTTTCTATCTAAAAAATTACTTATTATAAAATATTATGGCAACATGATCAGGCAATTGTTGATCATGTTGCGAACTGCGGTTGAAATAATTTCGCCAAATTTTGGTACAAATTAAAATAGTTACTTTTCATTAAATGTCCCTAAGAAAAACGACTATAAAACATTGAAACCGATTAAGCTGCCATTAAAGGATGTTACATATTCGTAATATAAATCCATCCCTTTACTCTCAAATCTCAATGCCAACTTGCTCCGAAGTTCCTCCCCCTGCTAGCTATAAGCCTAAACAAACAAGAGATCACTACCAATGGCAATGGGGAAGCTTTACATAATCTTGGTTGCCATGGTAGTCTTCTTGTTGGCTAGCAGGGTAACATCTCAAGCTGCTCCTGCTCCTGCTCCGGATAGTCAACCCCTTGATGTGGATTACTTTAGAAATCCAGCGAAGTTTCTTGAAGTTTGTCCACTTTTTAAACACATAACTGATAATAACTGCATCGAAGCCCTTAGCGAAAGTGTATTTTATAAAACTAGCCTAATTATCACCAAGGACTGTTGTAAGCAACTTTTATCTTTTGGACGTCGATGCCATCAAGCCTACGTGAATTCGTGGAAGCATTCACCGTTATGGGGTTATCCTGCTACGGAGGGCAGGAACCATGTACACGCAGCAGATCTTGTGCGTGTGGGGGATGAAATCTATTATGAGTGCTTTTTAAAAGTCAGAGGATAATACTCAATTGCTTATTCCTCTTCTAAAGAAGACTTCTTCATTCCTTTCTCTTTTCTTATGGTATTTCTCTATTATCCATTCCAATAATAATAATAATAATAATAATTTTTTGAAAGACAAAGATAATTTATTTTATTACTTTTTGAAGTACAAAGAATACTCTTATTTAGAACCTGGCCCCTGTGGGCCAAGTGGCTTTGGCTACTCTTATAAGGTTTATACTCCCCTCCCCAAAGCAACGGTTTGAGCCGATCCATAACAAAATGTTCAAAAAAAAAAAAAAAAAGTACTCCTATCTATGTACATTAAATATTATGGATATACTTAATAACAGTACATATCCAACTATTTTTCTCAAAATGTGGGCCTCCTGTGTTTTAGACTCTTTAAAAGATTGCTTCTCCAATCTGTTAAATCAATATTATCCAATCCTATTTTTCCTTTTACCCAATGCAGTGATCTAATTTGAATCAAATCGAATAGCTTATCTGCATTGGCCTCAAGATCTTGGAAAACCTTATCATTTCTACCTAGCCACAGAGTCCACAACGCAGCAAACCAAACTGCCATCCAAGCTTTATTTATCATTTTTCCTCCTCCTTTCCACCAGTGTTGGTGAAACATAGACAAACAGGTGTTACTCAAAACAGTTGTCAACCCCCACCACCTACAAACCCGCATCCAAATATTATAGGCAAAATCACAATTCAGCAGAAAGTGATCCACCTTCTCCGCAGCAGTAGCGCACCAACAGCAGCTACTATCTTGGTTTACAGTTAGCGCCCCTCTCTTTACTAGATTATCCTTAGTAGGTAACCTGTCCTGGAGCATTTGCCAAGAAAAAACACTAACATTGGATGGTATTGAGGACTTCCACAGCTTTTTATAGTTCACCACCACATCCTCCTCTCTATTTGCAAGAATCTCATACACTGTCTTTACAGTGTAGTGCCCTGTTTTGCCCATCTTCCAGGGCCATTCGTCTTGCTTTCCATATTTCGGTTGCTGTCCCTCAATAACTACCATCAGCTGTGACCCCAAATCCTCTTCCCAGGCTCTTAGCTGCCTTCTCCACTTTAATTTCTAGGTCCAGTTCCCATTTGTCCATTCGCCCATATCCTGTACTGTGCAATTTTTGTCTGTAGCTCATAAAAATAATCGAGGAAAAACGTTAGATAATTCCCAACGCCCCACCCAAATATCACTCCAGAATCTTGTACTTCCACCATCTCCTAGAATCACGGAGAAACCAGAGCTTAACCACCCTTCCTCATTCCTCACAAACCTATCCACTTTACAAATATGCATCCACCAGCTAGATCCTGCCATTCTTTCTACTCTTAGACTATGTATCCAGTTCCCCTCTTTGTTCCCATATTTTTCTATTAAAACCGTTTTCCACAAGCCCTCCCCTTTATCTAACAACCGCCCCCGCCACTTGCCAAGCAAAGCAATATTAAACAAGCTTAGATTTTTAATGCCCAGACCCCCTAAAAGCTTGCGACTGCATACTTTCTCCCACTTAACCCATGCTATACTCCTATTCTTTTGAGTCCCATCCCATAGAAAATCCCTCCTAATTTTATCTAATTCTCAAATGACGCCCTTCGGAAGGAGAAAGAAGGACATTAGAAACACCGGCAAACTTGACAGTACAGAATTAATGACAGTGATCTTGCCGCCCATGGACAAAAGTCAACCATTCCAACATGATAATTTCCTCCTGAACTTTTCAATTAAAGGCTTCCATGTAGTACATCTTCTAAGATTAGCACCCAATGGGATGCCCAAGTATCTAGATGGTAATGAACCTACCCTACAGTTTAAGAGGTACGACATCCTTTGCTCCCATGCACTGCTGGAAAACGAGGTATATTCGACAGAATTTTCTGTCGAATATCTTGTCGATTATCGACAGTCACATATGTTGTATAAAATGAGTCGATATTCAGTATATTCGACATAAATTTTAACTATCGAATATACTAGTTTAAATTGGCAGATACTTTCTATCAAATATACTTATTATCGACAAAATTTCATAGCCATCTTTATAATTTTAACAGGTTAGATTAAACCAGTATATTCAACAGCTAATGGCTGTCGAATACGTTTTTTTTTTTTCGATACCATATTCGACAGCATATTGCTGTAGAATATACTTGCCAGAAAAATAAAAAAAAATTGAAAAATCAACAAAATTTGGAATTAATAATCTTTTATTATTTTCTGTTAATTTTATATAAAAAAATCAGTAAAACAAACACAATTATCAAATTCCCCTGCAATATATTTATCAAATAATTTTAACAATAATATAAAAAGTAATAGATAATCATAAATAAAATTAAAATTAGCATTTACTGTAATTATTTGAAAAAAAGTTACTATTTCTGCCAAAAATAACAGAAAAAATTTATATCAAGTAATAAGAATTTCAAAAAGATAAGAAGATAAAAAGTTTAAATTAAAAAACTTACCTCACATTACTTCATAATCAATGTATAAAAATCTGAAAAAAAAAAAAAAAAAAAGAACTATTAGTATGTTAAATAATAAAAATTCAACAAAAAAGAGAGAAGAGTGAAAAGAAAGAAGATGATTAAAGGTAATTTATGAAAATATAAAGAGGAGAATGTAAAAGAAGAAAGAAAAAAGAAAATAAAAGGAGAAGAAACTTAAAAAGAGATGTTATTTGCGGAAAAAGGAGAAGGAGAAGGAGAAGGGAAGAGGCAAGAAAATGAAAATTAGAAGAGAATGAGATGGTCTGATGTCGGAGTGTTATTTATATGTCAAACATATTTGACAAAAATTCTGTCGAATATGTTTAAAATCTAAATAACTAGGAAATTAAATTTTTTTCGATGTAAAGCGCGGGGCAGCGTTATATTC